CTGTCCACCACTGTACTCAGATTGCAAATATCCAGACAGGCTTTTGCCTGGCTTTGCTTCAGCACAAATTGGGGTTAAACATGATCCAAACAAAACAAGAACAGTGCAGAGGTCACCAGCTGTGATGGTACAGAGAGGTTTGCTTTAGAAGACAGTTGATGCTGGAATGCTATCCAAAAGCTAAGGTCCCTTTCAACTTAATTTGTAGGTTTGTAACAGTGGAGATGAGTTGTTAATTCACCCTTGACAGCTTTATTCAACAATCGATGTATAGTCCTTGGAAATTAAATAATGAGGATCACTGATGTCTCATATTTATTTTTTAAGGGTATGAAAGGACATTACCCATCATTTAGTAGAGAAGCAGAGTGATTTCTATAATCAGAGACATGAGTAGAAAGAACTTGATCCCCTGACAGGGCAGGAAACCCCCAGAGCTCAACTGGGATGATATCTCTCATCTAATAAAGAAAACTGGCAGTTCTGCAGGACAGCTGTGATAGGCATCCGTGAGCTGAACTTTGCTGGAAAAAAGCTGCACAACACACTAAGTGATGATCAAAACTGTAGTATTAACACACTGGCCAGTGAAAAGGTCTGGGTCTCCTCATGTGGGTTCTAGATCAATGTGGTATTAGCAGACTAATTTGTAAACTGGTGTACATGAAAGGAAAATTGGGCAGAGTGCTGAGAGCTCTCCACGTGATCTGATCTCTGGTGTGAAATAATCTTCTGAGCCTAACACAGCTCCTCTAACCCCCTTGACTCTAAGTCAAATGAATACAAGAGCATTTTCTGACAAGACCGTTCCCCTCTCCTATACTATGTGGTTCTGGGGGAAATTCTGTCTCATCACCAGTTAACCATCTAAATCTGAAGAATGTCCATGATATTACAGCATTGTAGATGAAATATCCAGATATGCCAGTGAAAAGGCTCAGGAGAAAGAAGAGTTTGTGAGGTGGAGAAGGAAGGCTGAGAATCTCTACTGAAGAGGGGAAAGAAGTAAAATTCAGAAGGGCAAAGTGCAAATAACTAATATTAAAAAGAAGAGGTTAATTAGTAAAAGTTAGACTGACCCTTTCATACTAAGTCACAAGATGTTCTCAGCGTCATACTATTTTACACAGTGCACATCAAATAGACTTGATCTCCTGATCAATAGAGACATGGATTAAAGTGCAGCCATTTCCATTAAAAATTAAAAAAAAAAAAAAAAAAAAGAAAGAAAGAAAAAGGGACATGACTATCAGGGGGATTGGACGGCTCAGGGGTCTGTTAATAGGATAGAGCGTTGTTCACATTTCAAGGTCTCTGGTCTGATTACAGACCAGGTCAATAGGGAGAATGAAAGCCATTGCGTTTAATGGCTGGTTAGTGATGGATGTGAAATGAATTGTTTTTTTTTTTTTTTCTTTTTTCTATAGAAATGCAGAGATCTGCGGAAGGAAAAAACTGAGATTGAAGTACCCAACTGGAGCATCTTTTGTCCTTCCCACCTCTGCTCTGCAATTTCTCCCAGTTCCAGCAAATCACCTGGTTTCTCATAGTTTCAGCTCTCTATGTAAAACAGAGATGACATTTGACTGCCGTTTATTAAGACATAAACACTTTTATTAAGAATAAACACCTTAACATTGAGGCCAGGATAGGGCAGGCTTGGGTACGCATTACGTCCCAAGGGGATCCATGTCTCACATGCTCCTCTGCCTTCAGAGATCACCCCTTTGCCTGGAGGTCAGGCAGCAGAGCAGTGTTCCTAGATCCTGCTTTAGAAAGTCTCAGTCCTCAAGGCCATCAATCAGTCACCTTTCTCAAGCACTAAATTCATTTAAGGGAGGGAAAACTAAAAAGTAGAACAAAGAACGAACTAGATTTCATGATATGGGAAGACTGTGTGTGGGAGTCTGCCTTTGATGCACCTACAAGAGAATCTAATCAAGGCATTTACTATAAACAGAGAAAATCGATCACAGAACATTTTTAACATTTAAAACATGTCTCTGTTTGGACAGCTGAGACATCCCATTACTGTGAATGACACTGCCGGATCAAGGGTCTACACAATTTGAGAGAGCTGTAAATCATCCCCAGACCTTCGGGCACACAAACATTTACAGGATGGCGTTAAATTATTTGTAAATAATGGGCCAAATTCATCCCTGGGCACAGAGTGGGTATCTGCCATCGGCTTCCATGGAACTGCGTTGCCAAGGCTGGGCTGGGCAGGTGGACACACGGGGGCGGGTGCTGGTGTGGTACAAGGGGAGGTTGAAGACGACACTCCCTGAGGGCCCCGCACACCCCCTCAGCAGATCACAGACTGATGGGCAGTGGGAGTTGTACAAACATCTGTCCAAAAGACATGGGGGCAAATGCAAGTAGGGACAGTGAGCAGCTTTTGTGTGTTTTTACATCCTTTTGAGACACTTATCTTGTCCAAAGCTTTGATGACCCAAATGCAAAGATAACAGAGCAGGGAATAATTTACAGACTGATAAATGAGGGTGAGACTGAGGGCATGTAAAACTGGGATTACACTATCATGGGTGGCCTCTTCATTCACTGAATGCCAACCTACAGTCATGTTGGAGGCAGCTGGTGCCTCCCATGCTCCCTGGTAGCTGGTTGACAGCTACTAGGTTGACACAGCTTAAATGATCACAATTGCAAAAAACCCCACTAGATCTTGGATACTGCTGCTCTCACAGCACTCCCTCTGTGAGGTCAGTGTCATTAACTGAGTTTCACACATGGGACATGGTAAAATGATGTGTCTTGACCAATATCATCCAGCAGGAGATATGGGGAGCAAACACAGGTCTCCTGAATGCTGATTGAGTCATCCTCCCTGGTGCTCTTCTGGAATAAAAGAATTAATTTGGGTCTAAATTACCTCCTTCTGCAGGTGAAAGAGTCAGGATCTCAGGAGGTACCTACTCAGCTCATGCAGAAAAAAACAGAGTCAATGGCAGTGTGCTCTGCAAACAGGGATGCACCAGCACCAAGGACTTTGGTCTCAGATCTCCGGGGGGGGGGGGGGGGGGCCATATTCTAGCCTGAGTGACATCCCAAGCAATCCTATTGGACCTTCAGGAGATTGCATTGAGGAGGTATAAACCAGCAGAGAATCTGGTGTGCTGTATTCACTTGTGGTTGAAATCAGTACAAGATCTCTTTTTTTTTTTTCTTTTTTTTTTTTTTTTTTTTTTTTTT